ATAAATTACTGATACACGTGAACAAGCCAACATAACCGATAGTACTATATTACCTATTCAAGATATCCGTTCACTATTGGAGTTAAATTGGACGAAATATTCGCTACCGCTCTCCCAAACAATAGTAACACTAATTAACACTTTTAATTCGCTTGTATATTGTATCTTAATGTAATTTTAAAGTTTCACACAGTGTTTGGTGTTAATTAACGCCTTCTACACCTGTTTAAATTCTATCGCTATGTCCTTATTTTGGCTTGCACATGATCATTTTCATAGTTGCCATGTCTATATTTTAGTATAGTTTTGAAATTTTATAAAGATATTAAATTATTGGTAAAATTAGATTATAAACATTTACTTAATGAATTACTTAATAAATTTTAGTAGAACCCTGAACTTTTATTTTGCGTGAAATATCCTCTAAACATTGCATTTAATCATTCATTGCCTTCTATATTTGCAATGCTTACAAGGTTACAAACCAGCCCATATAACTAAAGGAAATATTAATAATAGCATTTCATCATTATTGTAAAAGTTTTTTTTTTGAGTTCAGGCCAGGAATATGTGCACAACAGTGTACAAAATGGATAATGTTTCTGTTTAAAAATTTTGGTTTTTCTGAATAAAAATATATCTAATTTTCTCAAATAAAACCATATTAGTAATCTGTGCTTTTAGGTAAAACAAATATTTCATATCAGCAATGACGTACCACCATTTATTATTTATTTAATGGCATTTATAAGAAATTTCTATTATAAAATTAATAATATTATAAATACTATGTAAATCAATATAACAATTAGTTAACGTCAAATTTACAAATGGAAAAAAGGTTAATTTGCTAAATAACACAAATAAAAATAGTAATAATAAAATGACACCATTTTTATTAAAAAAATCCAAAATCTACTTAAATCATTTGCAAAATACGCAGTAGACAAATATTGGAATAAGAAAAAAAAAGACAAATTATGATGTCTAGAAAAAAAAATAAATCTAATTAAAATAGAATTTAAGTTTAATATGTCATTGTACGTAGCTATAAAATAGAAAAAAAATAGTTATGATCTGCGACATTATATGAATTGTAACAGTAGTGCATTTATGTGTCATTTATTAAGAAATATTAATGTAATTGCGTAAATAGTTTATACGTATAACCTACGTCAAAATAATTTTCAAAATAATTGTACATTTAAAGCGATAATTTACAGTTATCTATTAGATCTAACCCCAGATTTATTAATCCGTTGTTATTTGCTAATGTATATAAATTTGACATGCTGCACAAACGATGTTGGTACGTACGTACGTATTTACCGTTACCTACGTACTTATGTACTGTACCGTTACAAAAACTTTCCTCGAATTTTCATTAGTATTAGTAAGATTTTGTAACAAAGAACATAAGTGGCTTTAGAGAATGAGAATTAAAAAAGAAATCCAAATTTAATTTTAATTTTCCACAATAACTATTCGTGCTTAAAGAAATGCACTGAGAATGCTGTACACATGCTCATTAGTTAAACTTAAATCATGCAACTTAAATCATGCTAAGCGCTTATAAAATCTATATAAGTGGAAATTTGACCTTTAAAAAATGGACTTTCTCTAATACTCCTTTTTTTTAATTTCTAAGTTCGCACCATATCATTCTTGTTCGTCAACAATCATATTTGTAACATAAAAAGTCTCTCACTAACTTTAATTCAATCTAATTCTAATTATTATTATAATATTGCATTATCTTGATATAGTACTTCAACATACCAACTAGGATTGGAAAGTTGTTCTCGCTTAATCTATCCTATTCATTTTTTAGAAATAACTTAAAAATGATCTTTACTATAAATATTTTATTTAGTCTATAAAGATCTAAGTTTTTAGAATTACACTACTTTCTGTTAGAATCTCACCAATACAACGCCATTTCATATTCTAAATAAATAATAAATTTATCTATTTCTAGCTTTAGGAGATTAAACCATTTATTCCGAAGGGAAAGTAACACATGAACTCAAAGACGTATTTCTTTGTAAGGTATGTGCATTTACGAAAATAGCCTGAATATTATGGCTAAGTGCTTGAATTCAACCGTCTCGAATAATAATAAAAAAATTTGATTGTATGCACTCACTCTTGTAATGGACGACACAATTGTGATAGAATTTAAAGATATGTTTTTTCAGTAATAAAAAAGTACGAATGTTACTTCCATTTGAGACCGTGATACTTTAAGACAATATGTTTATCAATCTGATTAGATGATCTTATGTCTATGATTTAAACTATTACATACTCAAGAATGAGTTAACGCCAAGGCATGTGAAACAAAAAGGGACAACGTGAGATCTGTAATTAAATAGTTTCTGAAATAAATTATTTAAGCCCCCCAGTTTCCAAAATTAATTTTATCAAACAGATGCGTTTCAAACATTATTCACGTTCTGTTTGAAATTTAATCTTGTAATTTAAAAAATATTACTAATCAAATCTAAATTACTTGTAATTTAAAAAATATTACTAATCAAATCTAAATTACTTGACTTTGGACTTTATAAAAAACAAGGGAAAATTGGCACAAAAAATCATGTAATGAAATAGTTTACTATTTTTATTTAAAGGCAAGTAATTCTTCAATATTATATGAGACAAAGGAAAACCCGTACATTTAAAATTAGCCCCTATTAAATCACCAATTGCGGACATTCAAAAATGCACAATAATGATTGACTGAACTCACGTGACCTAGCGAAATCTAATAGCTTTGTCAATTTGCCAGTGACGAAACTTATGGTTTTGTCAATCATCAATAGCAAAAATAGTTTCGTCAAGAATCTATAGTCGAGAGTAATTTATACATTTTTGATGTCCGAGACCTTTTGTCAAGTCCAAGAATTTTCATATTTTAGTAAAGTTTAAAAAAATTCATACTTGTAGCATTAACAATTTTATGAATTAGTGTAACATATGAAAACGTTAACAAGTTTTTTAAATTAAATTATGTTAATATTATATACGGGTTTTCTTCTGCTACCTCAAAATGCTTGGGCAACTGAACCATAAAAATAAATTCGGCATTGTATATCGTGTAACGTTAATGTCACTCGATAATATTATGATAAGAACTTGCAGAGCTCGTGAACGCGTACACTTATTTGCGCCGGTAATACAAACCCAAATAACGAGGTCCGTTAAAGCCAGGTATACATACTGCATAAATTGTATTCTTGATATCTATATAATCCACTAACCCCTGATTTTAAATAAGGAAATTATCTTATGTAGATCGCAAGATCGGGTGTAACCGCATGTGTAGCATGAAAACGATGGTTTTTTCAAAAAATAGCCGCTAACCCAAAATTCTACATAAGAAACCACCTTTTACATTCAAATAAAAAAATTCCTCGCAAAATTTTTGTATGCACTAGAAAAACAGGAGCTGTTGTAAATCTGGAGCGAATTAAAAAATCATCCAATCATTTTTATGATTAGTCACTAGGGCTCATCATTTTCTGCGGCAACAGGTCCCAAATTTTGAATGCGATATCTGGTTAGTGGTACCCCTCATTTAAAGGTTTTTGCCTAGAAATTGTATCTAACCTGGATTGTTCTATCAGCGTATCTATTTATGCGAAATTATGCAGTAAATTATGCGAATCAGATACAACTATGCGAAATTATGCGATCACAAGGGTTGTAAAATTACCATAATTTCGTAACTTACCAGGTAAATTTCTGTCTACCGAAAATCCCCGAAAACTACGCTCGTGTTTGTGTTCGTTGACTGTCTATTATCCGAGATATTTAACACTAGCCGTTTTATGCGCAGATTATGCACTATTAATTATGTGAGATTAGCCTTAATATGCAAAATTTGCAATCGCATATGCTATGCAATAAATATCGTGTTTATGCGCAGATTTTGCAAGTACAGATTTGCACTAGCCCTAGACAAAAGTTTGCTAATGACCTGAAATGTAAGTCCTTCGCTACGCTCCGGACAATTAAGCGTTATTTATGCAAATAAAAAATAATTTTTCCTTTTTAGGATTGTTTCATCGGCGCAAATAAGTAAATCACCAGTGGACATTGAATCACATGAAATTAAATGCAATGACGTTATTTGTTTACTAGTACTAACAAATCAGTCCCGATCGTTAATCATGTGATGTTGATGAGAGCAATCTTTGAGTACCGAAAATTCCAGAGCAATGATTCGCGGAAGTCCTGGAACTTTCTACTTCATCCTTTTAATAAAACATTTTTTGACATACGCTTCATTATTTAATTGTCATGAATCACATGACAAAGTTTTTTATACAGGATGTAGGACCATAAAATTTGAAAATATTAATGATATTTTCAAATTTTTTACGGATCTCTTAAAAAAGGTCTATAGTAAAGATGCATCATCATCATCACTAGTCCAGGGTGCCCAATACTAAAGATGCAATTGGATTTATTTATTAATTATTATAATTATGATTTTTTTTAATAGGGAATGTCTAAACTATATGCGCTACCTACTGAAATTGTAATATGCATCTATAAACGTGTAAGGTACCCCATCAACTTAATGCGATGTTGCAGGCGACTAGCAATAATATCTAAAGATCCTCAAGTGAAGGCTGCATGGATTATTTATCAATTTGGAGTTGCACATTGCCTCTTTTATGCTGTAAAACTAGGACCCTCTTATTTGGACGTAGCTGTTGCGCAGGCAATAATCTCCCAAGGTGGTATACTTTCAAGATATTTTGTTCAACGACTTCATATGAATTTCGGTGCTTCTGATGAAAAATTGATAGAATTAAAAGCTGCTCATGGTATAGGTTCATCACAATCTCAAGATCCGCAAAATATTCCCTGGGCGAGCAATCTGCCTATCAATGTTTATATATTCATTTTAAAGGAAGCAACTAGAATATATGGACCTGATCTATGTTTAAAAGGCAATGATATGGAATTATTTCACTTTTATTCCGGGGGACCACACACAATTCATTACGCTCCACTTGTATTGACAAAAAATATGGACCAAATCAAAGATCTGATATTACGTTTTAAATTCATTCCGCTTCCGCCGAGAAAACTTGATATCCAACCGGCAAATAATAATCAAGAAAACAATACTTCTACATCTGAAGAATATCCTCCCAAAGATGGCCACGAAAATAACCGTCAATTGAACGTGATTGCAAGATCAATTCTAATTTGCAAAGACATTGTTAATTTATGGAAAGAAATTGGCTATTATGAAATCTGTTATGACGTAAATGACCTCGTAATGCAAGGTTCACTCCTTATTATGTTCCCTCCAACGCCATCTTCTAGATGGTCTAAGCCTGACATTAAAACTATTAATGCGCGATTAACCGAATTAATTGAAATCGGATTTCAATTAAATCATCAAGTCATTCTTGACATCCTTCTTGTTTTCGAAAAAAGATTAGAAGAAATTGGCAAAATCTTAATAGAATCGTTCGCTGAAACAAGACACGAATCACTCGTAAATTTATTACGTAATTGTTTAATAGAAACTATAAACCCAAAATCAAAATTTAAAAATCAGAATATCATAAATTTCGTCTATGATTTTCTTCCCGATTCTTCCGAAATTGAATTTAATCGTGCATTTGAATTTTGTTCAAAATTTCATACGATCTGAACATAAGCTTTACATTAAATATTGGCAAAACTCTGGCATTAATAATTAATAAAAATTTAAATCTGAATATGATAAATATTTACTATAGCACTGCAATTAATGTCCTAATAATAAAATATATTAAGTAATAATAATAATTATTATTCTACTTATAAAATTATTCTAAATTACTGATTCATGTATGCATTGCTTTAATTTTAAATGCAATGTATTTTTTATGTGTAACTTTTGGTTACCTATTTTAAGTAGTCTGCCTGAAGGTTCTATACTAGCTGTCATACTTATAATCTATTAGAAGATTACCTATTTAAACACTCTGATCCTTATACTGCATTCAGGTAAGTAACACCTGGTTTTTGTACACCTAAGTATCATCTAATCCAATATTTAGTCTTCTATTTTAAATATCTGTTAGGCTGTTACACATTTCAAAACACATTATTTAACTATAAGATCCTAGAATACCTTTTTGTTAATTACCTACTTATTTTATAGAACATTAACAGAATTAACTCTTATAGAGTTCATCTAAACCTAGTACCTAGTTTATAATATATTCTAGTATTGTTAGTATATTTTTGTTTTGTTCTTAGACTCTTAGTTCAGATAGTTTAGTTGAATTGTGTTCTGTTTTAGTATATCAAGTCTGATCTAAAATTTTTTTTTTTTAGTCTGATTTTAGTAATCTGATTGATAGTAATTCTTATCTAAAGTTTTTGTTTATTTAATTTTTTTTATATTAATATTCATTTTCTAGATCCAACTTTTACAGTAATACTGTTGAAGATTTATATTACTTCTTTACTCAAGTCTTTTCAAATAAGTTTTTGTTTTCTTAATTTTATAATTCTCTATAGTCATAAGAACTTATTTTGAGTTTACATTATCTGGTAATACTTAGGATCTTTTTATATAATCAAGATTGCACAAATATTACATAACCTGTTTGTTATATTAGTGCAACTATAGTTAAAAGTATCTGATCTTAACTGATCATTAAAAAATAGTTTTATAATATTATAATTATATAGATAATAATTCAAATTTTTTATATTATTGGGTTTTAAACTTATAATCTGTTACTTTGAAGATTAATAACTTATATATTTTATTTATTATTATTTTTTTTTAAACTTTGGCAGTCTTGATTATATTTTTTTTATTTTTTATTTTTTATTAAACTAGTCTTTTGAGGACTAGGGTTTTTTTATTTAGTATTGTAGGACATGGTAACTTATAGTCTGATTATCTCAAAGAAGCTACCTTATATTAGAGAGTACATTTAGTCACATGTACACTTTTGGTATCTAATTTAAGTAGTTTGCCTATATATAGGTTTTATACTAGCTGCCATACCTGCAACCCAACTATGGGTATAGCCTATTTAAATCTTCTGTACTGCAATCCTTACTGTTATTACTAAAACATCTCCATTACATGATATCAGTTGAGAAGTTTTAGATGCTTAACTATACCCTTAGGATTCCTGCCTTATTTCATACAGATTATCCTTAAGACATCATTACTAGAGCCTTCTATATCCCAAATTACAGTTAAACCTAGTTTACAACCCTTGCAAAGTTTATACAATTTCAGTATTTTTCTTTTACAACCTTACTGTTACCTTATCTACTCTTGCAAGTCTTTCTATATTACTAATTCAATTAGTTCTGCATGATGTGACTTCATGATCAGACCAACTGATGGCCAGGTAGGTGGATCCCCTACCTAAAGGTTCTTGTCTGTACAGATCACCTACCCTAGATTTTCTTTAGCAGATCAAGATCTTCACAGGTGGCACCATTAAAAGTTGTACCACCTCTTTGTTCAAGATTTCTAAGCAGGCTTTTAATCCAAGTATATACTTTCTGGATTTATTTGTATAATATTACATACTTCCAAAGTTAGTCTTGGTATAACTAGAATTATAGAATTTACAAACTCCAGATTACAGATAAGTTTGCTGAAATAGGTCTATTTTTTCAAAATCTGTTGCCAATGAGAATTGACCATTGGACCTACTACTTGAAAAATGACAACTCAACCACTATACTAGAATCATCATCCTCGACTATATTCTTTATCAAGAGAATTGCATAATTAACTATACAAATATTAGCTTAATTTATAGATTTGATATCTTTTAACTATTGTAAAAAATATTTAAAGACATCTTATTATATTAATGTAAATTATACTCATTACTAGAAGTCTATCTAGACTAGCCTTTTATACTATTTTAGTAAAATCTATTATTATTATTAATTAATTTTCTTAGTTTTTTTTATATATTTTTAAATTTATTTTTTTCTAATTTTTTTTTTCTTTTTATTATTTTTTCATCTCTTGATCTTTGTATTACTTTTTTTTTTTTTTAATATTAATGGTAAGGCTATGCCTCTATTTTTATTGAATATTTATTTGAAATTTTTATATAAAGTATAAATTTACTATTAAAAATATTATAAAAA